AGGGGTCTTGTGGAATCACAAATGTGTTGCAGTTTTAATTAAAAACCTAAAACTGTAATTATGGTAACTCAAAAAAAAAATGCAAACGTCCTTGGAAAAAGAATTTTGCATTAGAAAGATTGGTGTGTTTTTGCTAAAGAGAGGGTAAAGAAAGACCGAGCTGGTGAGATAGAGAGAGACAGCGAGAGAGAGAGAGAGAGAGAGAGAGGAGGAGAGAGAGAGTGAGAGAGCCTGCAAGAGAGTCCCAGAGTTACAGAGCATTAAAAGGAACGCGAAAGTGTGCGGAGGGAAAGGCAAGGAAAAGCGTTATGTATTCAAGGCATCGATCGAGACCCCTTTCATACCCCCAGGCTCCCCAGCCATTCCCCCAACACCGACCCCACAACTCCAGCAAAAGCACGTCGACCCCAGCCGGGTTGGCAGCAGTAGGGAGTGGCTGGGCCTCCTCGCCCTCAGGGCCCAAGAGGGCCCACAAATGCTTATTTTCCCTCTTGGGCTCTTGGTTTGACACATGCAATCTGGGGGATTGCAGCTCTGGTGGTTGTGGTGTGGGCTTTTAAAGGGAGAGGGACAGACAGAGAGATGGGGCAAACATTTTTCATGAATTGAGAGAGCAGGGAGAGAGAAAGATGACTAGAACGAAAGGGCGAGAGAGAGATATTTTCCCAAGTTCGTGAGCTTCATCAGGAAATTACCTTAACAATGCAGCAAGCTTTTTAAAAAGCTGCCTTAAAGCTACTAGAAAGCGAAAATTCACCCTCTAGGCGTCGACAACTACACGATGCTCCAAATGACGATGACAAGGGACCATCCATTTTCTTCTCATCAAGCGCACCGTTTTTCCAAAAAAAAATAAGCCCTAAAGGTGGATTTTGGAACAACCCGTGGCTGTCGACACCCAGCTAATTCCTTGGCATCGATTCTGACGCTTCCGAGTCCTTTTAAAATTAACTGGGCGTCCAGGCTAAGCATATCTAGGCGTCTGACTTTGATGGCACTTTTCCAAAGAGGCTTGTGGTATGAAGGTGCCCACACGAACAGATGTTCTATTAAACGACCATCCAAACATGTTGTGGCCAATCCGGCAACGCCGAAACGTTTTCGGATTCTCGAATCTGCATTTTTAAAGCAGATTCCTAAAACCCCCAATTTTTATGATCTTGCATTTTCAAAATCGCGAATTTGCAGGATCTAGAAATGTTCAGAATAGCGCAATTTGCATAATTTTCTTATGGCCCTGCAAGCCTAGGCCCTCCATCTTCAGAAAAGACAGTTTACAGAACCAAGATGCTAAAAATTCGCTATTTTGAAAAACCGATACCTCGAAAATTTGGTTTTGAGAATTCGAGATCCTGATCTTCTAGATTCAGTCTTTCTAGATCCTGTTTTCGACATTCGGCCAAGCTCCTCCGCGCGAAAGTATAGCACAAAATCTGAGCATAGCACAATCCAATGTCTAGAGTTCGCAGTTGCAATAATTCCTTCAAAACATCTAAACCCTACTTCCTAGGGGTCAGCAAGTCCAGGGCTAGGCGTCGCCCAGATTGACAGCAGACGGTGGGAGTGCTTGAGGGCGTGACGTCTTCGGAGAAGAAGCTGCGATAACTCCCCTTCCAGGCTGCCAGATAAAACGGCATTACGTGGCTTCCGTTCTCGGGCTGTGAAACGAAAGTTGGAGTAGGGCGGAAAGTTTGAAAGTTTGGAAAATGGGAAATTGAGCATTATAATACCGTCTTTATAATGAATTGGGCAGTCATTAAGCTGGTATATATAAATTTACACCAATCAGCTTGAATTTTCAATTTTAAGCTAGTTCCTGGGGCAAAAATATCGTATTTTGTCGGGCCTTTAGCAGTTAATAAGATTTTACGTATACATTTCCATATTTGAGCCTGAATTTGAGTTTTATATATAAGTTTTTAGTACGAAAAATATAGGATTTAACTGGTTTAGCTGTGCGATTTTATGGGTCAGCTTCGAATTGTATATTTGCATCTTATCGCTTTAATTTCAGACTTTAACGCTCTTCAAATTGCGTCAAAACGTCGAAGAGCATGATAAATACAAGCCCAAAGATGCAAATTTTGAGGATTTTTTGTTAATTAAACCTGAAAATGTGTAGTTTTATGTCTATGAAATCACAAATTACGCTAATTTACATAGTCGAACCTCGTTTATTAGCACGCGCACACGAAAACACACGTCGCATCCAGCGACCTCACAAGCACACGATGTAAGAAAAAAAATGCAGAGCAACACGAAAGATACGGTGACATGGTGATGACGTAGATGTGATGGGGGTGGAATTACAGTAGCATTTTGGCAAAGCGCAGCATTTTCAAGGAATATATTTAAGTGGTATTCTGTAGCACACGAAATACACAGCTTTTCTAGCATTATTTGCAACTATAATCAAACAGGGTATTGCCTCGGGGTCGCTCCCTAGACGGCATCTCGGTTACCGGACCTTTTTACGGTACTCGGCCAAGATTTTCTGGGCTCGGTCACGGATCTCGGCGCGGGACCGGATACGGTATTTGAGGCAGGGTTTGACGATGTCGCGCATTATCTGAAAAATTTGAAATAATCGTTTTTAGCTTCCTTGGATGGGTATGGGCTTAGGCTTAGGCTTAGACCCAGGCTTAGGATTAGGCTTGGGTTTGGCTTATGCTTCGGCTGAGGCGGCTTCGGCTTTGCTTAGACTTTAGTTTAAGCAGCTTAGGCTTTGCCTAGGCTTAGCTCTAAGCTTAGGATTAGGCTTGGATTAGGCTTACGCTTCGGCTGACGCACCTTGGGCCAAGCTTAGGCGTAGGCCTTAGCCTAAGCGGCTCACGCTTAGGCTTAGACGTCGCCTTGACTTAGAATGAGGCCTAGGCTTAGGCTTCTGCTTATGCCTAGATTTAGGCGTGCTATCTTAAAAACTCACATCCTTGTATTCTTCTTTGCTGATCATCTTGTCGTAATACCACTGCACCACAATGTCCTTGGTTTTGTCGTGGATTTCTTTCTGAAAAAAAACACCTCTTAAGGCTTCCGGAAAACGTCATACCTTGTATTTTTCCGCAAAAGATCTGCGCTCTCTTTCTTTCGGCTCCTCGATATATCCGAGGTCCAGGTTTTCAAAAGTTGACTAAAAAAAATTAAAAATTGAGGAATTCAAAAAATGCAAAGCTGTTTCTGACCTGTTCGGGATCCGGAGGAAAACCAGGGTCTAGTCCGGGCATTGCACAGCGCTCAAGGGCTGAAAATGAAAGTTTCGTTAGGTTTAGGCTTACAAGGAGTGCCTTTTGGGTGTCATCGGCAAATTCCTTCGAGACCTAGCTCATTCGATAGAGAATTCGATTCTGAACAAAACCCCGTTGTTCTTTTTTGCAGAATGGCTATCCCTGATTTTATAAAATTAAAATACTAGTGACCGTCTCTTACCATGAGTGCCTTTCGAGCCAAAATGGATGCTTTTTGGCGCAGTTTTAAAATTTTATAAAATCAGGGATAGCCATTCTGCAAAAAAGAACAACGGGGTTTTGTTCAGAATCGAATTCTCTATCGAATGAGCTAGGGTCTCGAAGGAATTTGCCGATGACACCCAAAAGGCACTCCTTGTTAGGTGATAAGCTTCGACTTGGGCGGAGGCTTGGGGCCGAGGCTACGCTCAGGCTTATGCTTCGGCTTAAGTCATTTCGAACCTTGTCTAAACGATGCCGTCTTGGCTTCCAATGATTGCTTCGCGTTATATCCGTTTGGCATAAAATTTTCGAGCCCCGATTTCGCCTTACTGGTGCTGCTGCTCGCGACCGGGGCTTCTTCGGTAAAATCGATATCCATCTGAAAAAAATTGGTTTTAAGATTAAGAGAGAGTATGTTGCCACATCAGAGCTTATTTTAATAACAAGGTCAAATTATTAATTTCTGCAAAATTCGTTAGATTTGTGTATTCCCTTCTAAGCCCGCGGGCAGGCGAAACCTTTTGGCATCGCTGCCAAGGCAAGGGTAATTATGGTCGGGCCAAAAACTACTCTCTCGCCCGGGGCCGGAAATTTCCAGAAAAAGCCAGCGACTACTACCAGCGACTACACTA